GACCTACAGCGACCTGGTGTGAAGTTCATGCTCAGACACTGCTGATTGTGCCTCAGACTCTGAGTGTGGATAGTTCCAGTCTAAACGAGCAGAGGTCTTGTGTGGTGTGATCACTTTAGCTGTTTGTATTGTCTTTGAAGTGATTGTTCTAAAATAACGTCTGTGCTTAAGGTGTTAACACAGCTTCAGAAATCATTTTAGGCTTTGGTAATGAACCGAGGTGCCAGCGGGGAGTTGTGGAAAAAACACCGACACCTGGTCTGAAAACCACACAAAGTACTGTGAACAGTTTTTAGTGTCTTTGTTTTTGTGTGTTCGCCTAGTTTTCTGAATCTTCTTTATCCATTTTCAACCTAAAAGTGGTTCTTCTATGAGTCTGTAATTATTCTGTCTTAAAAATTACTTTTATACCTCTTTTTAACCTCCTTGTGTCTTTTTGAGATCTTGTAATAGCCCTTTGTGTTCCAATCTCTGTTTTCTTCGATTTTATTTTCATCATTTTGCATTTTCCTTTCATTCTCCATCTCCTTGAGTGATATTTTTTGCCTTTATTGGTGATTTCTTCGTATTTGTCTATTTTTAAACATGAACTATTGGATATTTGGATTCATATGTACACCTCCATTAGAAGTCCACAACTCCAGTGCTGGTGTGGAAATGATTTTGTGATCTGTTTGCATCTCTTTGCTCCTTTTGTGTCTCTTTTTAGTTACTTTGCATCTCTCTGAAGTCTTGTGTAGCTCAGGGCCCCTTTAAAGTCTCTTGTGTTTTGGTAATTTTGTAAGTAGACATCCTTTTACATCCTCTGTTTGCAGTGATTTTACATCTTTATTCCTCTATTCATCTCTTTTTAGTTGCTTTGCTTCCTGTGTTTTCTTTTTCTGTCTCTTTGAAACTGTTTGTGGTATATTTCAGTAGTTTATCTTTCATCTTTTTGATAATTTACTTCATTTTTTAGCAAAAAATTTAAACCACCACATCTGACAGGAGCTCTGGACCTGGGGAGCTCTGGTGAGAACAGTATTTTACACCAAATACATCAATAGGGCTTGTCTAAACATATGAATGAAATTAGTCTTGAAGTTGGTTTGAATTCATCCTTCAAGTTTTTCGTGTTAGCTGCCTCTAGCCCAGTTTATATATGTACCATGTAGCATTATAATATAATAATGTAATGTCATAGTCAAAAGTTAAAGAATGAAATTGAAACATACACAAACATATACAAACATGCGTTTGTTTGGCAAAAGGACACACATTCTTCACTCGAGTGCAGCTGCAGATACTTGTGTTGGAAAAGCTCTGAAGCACTGAAGTACTGTTCCAACTTTACCTAAATAAAACAAAAGTACAGCTTATAGAAGTAAGACGTAGCTCTTTGAAGGACATTTTACTTTTAATCATCAGCTGTTTTTGTGCAAAATTAACCGACAACTGTGATTTTGTCTCATATTTGTTGTTAAAAGTTTGTGTCTCTGTCACAAACATCTCTTTGATTTGTACTCGCGTTCCTTGCAAATGTTAAAGTGCGTCTCTTGACCTGACTTTCTCCCCTCACCCCCAGCCAGTCGCGGCCCCTCGCTGAGCCTGGTTCTCCTGGGGATTTCTTCCTGTTCAAAGGGAGTTTTTCCTTCTCACTGTCACCAAGTGCTTACTCATAGGGGATCAACTGTTTGCATTACTGTATGATGTTCACCTTACAATAATCTGCACCAAATAACAATAACTTGTTCACTGTTGTTGTGATTTGGTGCTATACAAATAAAATAAAATTGAATTAAATAGAAACACACTTGTCTGAATGAGGCTCAAACTGTCTCAGAGGAGAACTGCCAAACATGTATTTTTCCAACTTTCATTAATCTGCCATAAACTTGTTCTCACAAAGTTTTATTTAATTTCACACATTTTCTGTTCCCACTGATGAACTTCACTCAGTTCAGTTCAGTCAGTTTAATAGCTGTACTGGGAAATTTGGTTTGCAGATATGCTCTCATGAAATCCATCAACAATATAAAAAGAAGAAAAACACTACATAACAAATACAGAAAATTAAATCCACATCCAAAAAACTCATAAGATATAATCCTCAGTATAATTTAAAAAAAAGGCACAGCTATCACAAATTGATTTAAAAAAACAAAACAAAACACTATTGCATAGAAAATAAAGGAGTTTTTTGTCCTGCCACGTTTTACTCTTTGTGTTCAGTATCTGCAGCCTGAAGCAAACAGTTCAAGTTCTCTGTGCAGGGTTCGGTCTGGTTCATCACATCAGCGCCTGTCTTTTGCACCTCCTCCTGCTCATAAACAGCAGATAGTGAGATCTGTGGGGCTTTGCTCAAGTTTATCCTGTCCTCGGTTCTAGCATTTCCAAAGCAGTCAGGGATGGAGAATATTAAAACAGAGTGATACTTATAGCTGCCCTCTCTTTAAAACAGTATCTTGATGAGTGCCTTCATGTGACGCGTTTAGGGGACATCTGCAATCTAGCTTACACTCTTCCTGTGACAGCATTGCATAAAAGCCCATCTGGCCTCAGGTTACAGAACACACCTGCTATTTACAGCTACAACTAAAACGGATGCAGGATTGTTTTTGCTTCGTTTCTGTTGCTTAAATTAGTTGCAGCTGAGATTTTTAGAAGTGGTTCATAACATAATTTCCCACTGCCTTGTTGTTTACTCTCTTATTTACCATTTTGATTAGGTGGAAGTACAGTTGTGAATATTCAGTGGAGTTTTTCCCACTGCACTCTTGGCTTATAATAAGCTAATTTCCTTCACTGGCATCCATAAAACTGTTTTGACTGTACAGTTTTATAGCTCTTAATGACTGCATTTGGAGATGTAGAATAAGTTATACAGTAGAATTTTTTATTTTAATATGATGTAGAAAAGAAAAAAAAGATGTTGAACAAAGGTAAATAATTATATGTGGACTTTTTACCTTTCTACCTAACATGTGATCTCTCCAGCCTGGTCGCTCACCCTGGATCTCCTCTCTGTGTCTCAAAAGTTTAAATTAGTCCAGATTGGATCAGACGTTTTCATGTCCCAGACCTCCTCTGTCAGACTCTCTGAGATTTAGCAGCAGCTGTTCCTCTAGAACAGCTGGAATAAGACAAAGTAAAGCTGAACCCTACTGTGAAGCTCCAAAAGAAAAGACTGGAAAAAATAATTATATATTCCCTTTTTTAAAAAACATGCATTAGGATATAGAATCGGTACTGCTGAACCTGTAGTATAAACAGCTTGATTAAATTTACTGTCCATGGACACACACAGGTTTTTAAATCAAGTCGAATTTCGTCTAGATGTGATATCCAGATAACCCGGGCTGGTGATGATGGTAATGATCCACCAGGTGAGGGCGCTCTCCCTCTTTCAGTCGCCTGCACGCGTGTGGAATACCAATCCAGAGAATCCCCTGAACAATCAGCTCACAGAGAGATGAGATAAAGACTGAACCTTCACGTTTCCATTTTTTCCAGCTCTTCGAATGAAACATGTTTTTTAACTTCTGAAATGCTTAAACTAAAACTTCTGCTGTGAGATTGTTTTGATAAACCAAAATTCCCACTTTATCTCAACAGAAAAACTTTATGGAAATCAGTCAAAGCCCAGAATGAGCGACCATTTTTCCATGAATTCAGCAACTCATCGTGTGCAGGTGCCGGAATGTATTCTTGTGTCATACTCCCGAGCTGCACCTCCGTGCGCTTTCACATCTGCCATTTGCATCAGATTTCACTTTATCTTCTCCATTTCTCTCCACAAACACTAAAACGACGCCTCTGTCCTATTACCTGCAGCTCCAGCGTAAATGTTTATGGAAATGGCTCGTCGGAGCAGGCCAAGTGTTTTCCATCAGCGGCTCTTTGCAGTAATAATACTGCAGTGTTGATGTCAGACCCGCCTTGCCTGAAGAGGGGAGGCTAATGGCCCCTTTCCCCCGCTGCATGAACCAGCGAAGAGAGGAGGGAGGGGAAAAAATCTAATTCACCTTAAATGTGCTGCTGCAGAGCTGGGAAGCGAGAGGGCATCTGTTCAGAGAGTCCCCATTAAAGGAACATCATGTAAGATCAACCACAACGCAATTAGGGAATATGGACACGAGTGAGAGTCTGCGAGGATCACACCTCTCACACACCTGTTGGCTTTCGGTGGTTTCTTCAAAGCACTGTTTTCATTTCAGTCCCCACTTTTAACATGAAAACTCAACTATAGAAGTGATTATTATTATTATTATTATCATTATTATTATTATTATGTAATATTTTATTTAAACAAAAACACTGAGTGACAGAGCACATACCCCTGTAGTACATGTTTATAACAATATTAAAATCAAAATTCATAATATGTGTTGTTTATTTGTCATTTTCTGTGTGCTAAAAAAGTTTTAAAGTAAATTATTAATTCATTGACTGCATTAGACAACTTTAGAAAATATGAACGCCCCGTCCCTCTTCTCAGCTGTTTCTCTTTCCCTCTTTCTTTCTCCCCTTCTTTCCCCCAGTCAAGTCTGTCCCGTAAGTCTGTCAGTAAGTGAAAATAAAATAAACAATAAAAGGTGAATCAAATGGACCATTACGGCAAGGCTGGGATGGTCAATTTGGTAAAGTAAATCCGTTGGGCATCTTTCTTTGCCTTTAGACAACAATTCTGATGGCAAAAGAGTCAAACGGGACAAGCAATAAAAAAAAAGAAAAAAAGAAAAAAAAAGAAAATATGAACGCTGACAAGTTCAGAGACTTTCTCAGGAAGCAAAGATCGTTCAGCAGTTGATTTATACTCATTTATACTCATGTTAATTTAACAATACCTGCATATTAATATCCCTAATAACAAAAATAAAGTATTAAGGAGGAAATATAGATCCCAGTCAGTTTTCAACATTATATTCCGCTTACATAAGTGGTGACTATAGTCCAGAAATAAATATTTATTTTATTAATTCATTAATTTACAATCCTGGTGGATCAGTTGTTTCCATTATCAGGACCGTTGGATGCCTGCAGTACCGTCTCCGACCTATGGGGTCGCTGTGGAGTTGCGAGACACTTCAGGATGCTCCGGAAATATTCGACATAAACCGGAAAAGGTACACAATGGCTATGGCCAGCAGCATGTAGCCAACGCATCGACAGTTAAGATCTTGTTTTAATTAAGCTGTTTTAATCATTGCCTTCTTGTTCGTATTTTAACCGTTGAAATAGAAACGACTGTTTACCGGAGATGGGAGTTCCGGCGTTTTTCCGTTGGCTCAGCCGAAAATATCCATCAATTATTGTGCACTGTGTGGAGGAAAAGGTGAGTGGTTAGCTTTGAAAGCTAGCAGCCTGTCCGAGGAACATTATCGGGAATATTTTTAACACTCTTCTCGCGCATTTGACTGCGTTTTAATCGCTGCACACAGCGGGTGAAGTTACTACGACAATGCGAAATGTTTTGGCGAGAGTGGGGACGATAAATCGAAGCTCGTGCAGTCTGTTTACTTACACGTGACACTGTAAATAACATTGCTGCTGTGTTAATGTTTGAAACCCACGCGGAACTTTAACCTGACAGCAAACACAGAAAGTGTTTGGATTCGTTGTTTTTGTATTGTTAAAATTAACAATAGCTATAATTACTTTACTGGTCTGCTGTTAAACAGTACTGTGCAAATGTTTTGAGCCACTCCTCGTTTCTTTATGTTTTGTTGCCAGGAAGCCAGAGTTTCTTTAAAAGTGCTCTTGAGCAGCTGTTCTCTGGGTTTTTTGAAGTCTTTCAAGGTTTATCTTTGGACATTGGCTGCTTTTGCACTTTGTTTTCAATTCAGTCCTTGTACCTGGACATTTTAATTTTTTCTTTGTTAAGACTATTAAGCAGTCGAGCATAGAAGGAACCTATGTCGAGGGATGGACCAGAGTTTTCTACACATAATGGACAATTAAGCATAGATCCAATTTTGAATTGTACCTGTGTGCTGTTTGTTACTGCAGCCTGTTACAAAAACAGATCATTTGTTCCCACGACTTTAGCTGAATCTGCAAATAAATGTTATATATCTTAGGCATTTTTTTGCACTAACATGCTGATTCACAAGAGCTATTTGCCATAAACATTGCATACAAAAGTAAAAAACTGTCTACAGCATACATATCCTGCGTAATCACAAAGCTTTCTGAAATCTGTGCTGTAACCTGACATACATGTCTGTAGAAATGTCACTAGGTTCTGTGTGAGTGCAGCTCACAACAGCTGAAGATGTATTTTTGTCCGGAGTTGCAGCTCTGATGCAAAAAAGGTTATTTTTTTTGTTTCCTTTCATGTTAACAGGGGAAGGAGTGCAATGGAGTTCGTATTCCTGTTGATACAACAAAGCCAAACCCCAATGAGGTGGAATTTGACAATTTGTACTTGGACATGAATGGGATCATTCACCCCTGCACGCATCCAGAAGACAAGTAGGAACCGTTCTCAGTTTAATCTGGAGATAAAAGACCGATCTTCTGTGTTTACAGCTCAATTCATTTCTGATATAACAGAAACCTACTCCCTGTGAGGTTTTTGTTTCCAGTGTAATTTATTTGGAAGTCAATAATTTCATTGAAACAGTCTTTTTCTAAATTTGAAATATTTATACAAATTTATACATATATAAAAGTTCATAAATGAAGCCATACCAAGTCTTCACTTTGTCTCTTCCTCCACAGACCGGCTCCCAAAAACGAGGATGAAATGATGGTCGCGATCTTCGAGTACATTGACCGCCTGTTTAACATCGTGCGGCCAAGGAGAGTTCTCTACATGGCCATCGACGGAGTGGTAAGCTGCTGCCATTAACAGAAACGTGCAGTTTTTTTCACTGATGAGCATTCACAAGTGTTACTGTGTGTGAAGTAAACTTGTTTTCAGTGTTACGCCGATCTGACAGTAGCTTTGATGTAAACTAAAGTTAACTCTGCCCAGGCTCCACGTGCCAAAATGAATCAGCAGCGCTCTCGGCGGTTTCGTGCCTCCAAAGAAGGGGTCGAGTTGGTGGAGGAGAAGAGTCGCGTGAGAGAGGAGGTCATCCAGAAAGGTGTTTTATTTGCCTCTTTGACTGCTGGACTGAAAATACGGGCAATATATTTTAATGTGATATTCAAAACACTGTAATGTTAAGTGCGTCAAATTTGATGCATGGAGTTTTTGAGGGCTGTGCATCATCTGTGTGTATTTTTTTCCCAAAAAAAACTAAATTAACTGATTTTTAAACAGTAAATTGCAAAAAAAATGGCAGATGTACCAAATATGATAAAAATTAAACTTGCATATGCAAATTGATTGATTTTTTTTTTTTTTAAAGTATGAAATGATTTATTAAACACTGCAGTTGAAAAATATATTTGGACATTTATAAAACAAATGTGTATTTAATACATTCCTGGTGATTTTCTCTTGGAGGAAGATTGAAACTTTCAAAAAGAGTTTAAAGCATTACATCTGGGGGAAAAAAACAACATCCTGGTTTTTTGTTTGTTTGCTTTTAAACCCGATTGGATCAATTTCAGCTCAGTGTAAAAATCTGCTGATTTTTTCTTTTTTTTTCTTTTTCCCCTCTCATTTTCTCTCTGTCCAGCTTGGATAGGGAATACAGCCACATGGGGGTAACTCCGCCCTCTAGTTTCTTCTCAGTATAATATTGAGATTTTTTTTTTTTTCCGTCTACAGGAGGTTATCTTCCTCCGGAGGAGATTAAAGAAAGGTTTGACAGCAACTGTATCACCCCAGTAAGTTTACTCCATCCAGTGAAATCTTGCCTAACTTTTATTTACTTGTAACAATGTAGTTACAGGATTTGTACTTGAATGGATGATTCAGTGACTTTTCTCTGCAGGGAACAGAGTTCATGGACAACCTGGCACACTGTCTGCGATATTATGTGGCCGAAAGACTCACCAACGATCCAGGATGGAAGAATATTGTTGTGAGTCTGATTTATGGCCAGATGTTACCTGCCCACAACTATTTCTTTTATAAAATAAAATGACTCAGTTTAATCATCCTTACGTTCCTCTTTCTTTTTTTTTTTTTTTGTAGTTTTCAGCTCTTGGTATTTTGCATTTTCAGGCACTAATCTTCAGTTTCTCTGTTATCCAGGTCTTCCTGTCTGATGCCAGCGTCCCAGGTGAAGGTGAACACAAGATTATGGACTTCATCAGGAGACAGAGAGGTACATGCATTAACACTCAGAGCAATTCCAATGATTTAATTAAAGGGACCTTTTATGATTATTTCACCTCCATATTTTTATGGTTGGCTTTAATGAAGAAGCTTTGCAATACTTAATGTTCAAAATAATCTTCGTCTTTCACTGGGTCTTGGTGTAGTGCCTCAGTGTTTTAGGTCCTTAAGCCAACTTTGTTCTGATTGGCTGTCGCTCCCAAACTGAAGGTTTGTGCCTGAGATGACCATATTAAGTATGTCTCATCTCGTCAGCAGCAGGATAGATTGGAGCAGTCTGAAGCTGAGCTTTGACACATGTTGACCTCATTGTTTGAATCCTTGAAGCCATTTTTTATGTAAGACCGTGTTTGTGATAGAAGAAATGAAAAAAGCACAGTAATTCCCCTTGAATGCAGCTGCACTGCAGAATGGTAAATGGAAAAACCGAAAATATGGGAGGCTTCTGATGTGAAGTACTCTGAACTGTAGTGACAGATTCACAGTTCAAAGCTAAAGTGCTGTTGATTATCAGGTTGACTCTTCTATCTTGAAGTCAAATTTGATAGGTGACCTTTGATGACCAAACATCAAGTACAAGCCTTCACAC